AGGAGGGGAAGAATCCGTGTATAACTAAGGAGTGTTGACAAATGCCCTTAAATTGCTTTGGTTGCATTTCACTTAAGCCCTCGCCCCCTATAAATGCCCATAGGGCTGTCATTGGGACATTTCCAAAGTATTGCTCAGTCAGAGACAGGGTGCCACAATGCCCCTGGCCATAGTCAGCTTGCTCCAAATGCCCTCGCTTCCCTTCATACTGGTGCTGACCAGGCATTTTCTCATTTGCTCTGCACAAATTAAAGCTCCCATAATAATAGCAAATACAGAAACATCATTCACTTAATTTTATTGTTGGAGATTTTGTCTCACCAGGCTGGCAAGACTAGAAACCACCGAGTTGTGCCGCAATCTTCTGATTTTATGCCATGTCCAGACCTGGGGGCTGAGAGGGAGGTGACGCTGCTCCCCAGTCTGGTGCACACTTTTGATTCTTGTCCCAGCCTCCGTGGTCCCTGCTGATCTCTGCCAGAGTCCTCTCCCTGGAACCCACAAACATTTCCCCTTTCTGTTCTTGAGCGCCTTTTTGCTTTTCTCCTACCAACCCTCTCCGCTCTGTACCTCCTGCAAAAGCTGGATCGAAGGCTCCGTCCGGGGAATCAGCCAGAAGATCCAGCAAGTATTGCTGGGTATAGCCCTGCACCTACCTGACCCGGGGCTGCAGTATCAGGAAAGCGGCAGAGCTGGCAGAACACAGGGCGAGGTGGACATACAGGAGGGGGAATAGTTTCCCCTCTCAAGGTATTATCCAGCCACCAAGCCATGCTGGCTGAGAGTACTGCTTACGTACAGGGGGAGGTTGCTGTTGAAGGCCCAGATATGTATCTTATCGATTAACTTTATTGATCCAGTGTTTTGGTGCACGAATTATATTAAATTCCACTGGAGATCTCTAAGATCCTCTTTAACAGACCCGCAAATTTCTAAAAGGGAGGGTGGGTGTTCTACTCCAGGGAAGGCTGTGCCTTGGTCTGTGACTTCTGTCATGGTCCTCAGCAAGTTCCATCTGATAATTTTCTACTTTACAGGGATTAAAAAAGCCTCAGCTCACACTCGCCATGATGCATATTCAGTAAGGGACAAAGACAGTTAAAGGTGTCAAGGACTCCCAGATGGCAAAACCCAGGTTTCCCCTCTCCCGCCTGGGGCTTTGGCCGATGTCAGGCATCCTGGCCTGCCAGCGACAGCAAGTGGAGCCAGGTTCTCACTGACTCTGCGCCACCCAGAATGGAGCGCGGTTACTCCGGGCAGCCTGGCCAGGGCACACTCCCGGCTCAGTGAGCCTCCCTGATGGCCGGACGCTGGGCACCTAGGGGAACCCGTGCTTCCTGCTGGGGGCTTTAGTCCTAGCCCTCACCTGTCAGTGAAGCTCACAAGCCCTGGGGTGCTGCCCCGAACCCCCCTTCCTCTGAGCCCCAGGACACTCCTCCAGGCCTCACTAGCCTCCCTTCCGCCCTTCCATGGAACTTGGGGTCTCTCCAGCTGCAAGGTCTGAGGAAGTTTCTCTTGTTGCTTCTGCTGCCCAGCAGAGACTCCAGATCCCTCGCTGGTCAGTCCTCAAGCATGTCAGATCTCTCCTCGTCACATTTCCATTTTCGTGTCTAACAGATCACAGCCGAATGTAGTTTCCCTTCCCTTTGCTTATTGCTCCCCAGCTATTTCCAATTTACATGACAATCCTGGTGATTTTTTTTTTTTTTTCTGCTCTTAGCAGACTGATTGTCTGGGTTCTGACTTCAGAGGATGCAACTGCAGGCTTCCAGCACCCTGCTCTGGCCCTGGCTTTATGCTGGCCCATCTTTCTGCTAATTTGCTTTGCCTATCAACATGCCAGGTTGAGCTCTGTTACATCCAGGGAGACTGTGAGAGCTTCTTGTGTTAATTTTCTAATTGAGATTATTGATGCTGCCTGAGCCTGAAGACAGGTAGAGATGTTCAGTTCTATTGGGAGCTATTTTTCCCCCCAAGGATTTAAAATGTGTTGTGCTAGTTGTTAGTATTTCATAATCATCAGATCAAATTATTTCTTTCAATCGGACACTTTAGAACGATGTGCTAAAGAGTAAATAATAAGCAGACAGAAGAAGCAGCTGAACCTAAATCTCTTGAGTTTTCAGCATTCCTGGCTTTAGAATATCAATGCCTCTGGGTGCCATTGTTTTGTGGTTTGGAGGGACCGCCACCTGAAGATCTTAAAAGATATTAAAGAAAATAGAGAGCTTTTACATAAGAGAACCCTGATCCCCCAGTGGAATGATAAATTCCATTTCCTCCTCTCACTGTTCCCCTCATTGTTTTCTAAGAGGAATGTTTCTGATGAGATACAGTTGGATAAATGATGTCTGTCTACTTAAGCAAGCAAGAAATATTAGAGGATTATGCAGCAACAACTGGATCCTCTGGCGTGGCCACTGGAGTGTCCTCAGAGGCCACCAAGGATGCCCGGGGGAGGGGTCTGCAGCTATTATTGTTGCTGCCCCACAGATGATTAAGCCGAAGCTCCCACAAGTTGAGCTCAAGGTTATACATCTATTAAACTGGGAAGCTGGGCTTTTGAATCCAGCTACAAACTTAGTTGTCATTTTGGTATTTCATTAAAAAATCAGAATTGTGTACACTGCAAAACAGAGACAACCTCAAAGGTGTCTGGGGATGGAGAGGGATAATTCCTCTAAAGAGCATGCTCAGGAAGAAATCACCAGCCTGTTTGGAAATGCAAAAGAGAGCCTGCTCCCTCTGCCTTAGAATGGCCGCCTGGCAGGAGCGCCTGTGTAAGCTCTAAAGGTAAACAAGCTATAGAAGCCAACCCGTGGGGCTCAGCTTAGAGCAGCCTGGGTTCCCACCTGGGTCCCCACGGTCAGCTCAGTCTGGCCAACAGCTCTCCGCTAATTTTTCCCCTGGAGCGCTTCCCTTTGTGCGCCCCCTGCTGGTCTCCTGGAGAAGCGCCTGTCCTGGAACCAGAGAAATTAGGAGCAAGCTCCTTTTCCTTTGCTCCAGGAAATGACCAGCCCAGCTCCACCTCTTCAGAAGTTCTGCTTCACCTTTCAGAACTGAAAAGAATTGAGGTGGGGGAATGAGGATGTTGAGTGTATGTACTCAGAAGTACTCAAAAGTAATCATGTAGCATCTTGGTAGTATTTCATTCTCAGAATTAGGCAGCCTGAGTAGTGAGCAGTGAGGTAAGTAAGTATCCTAAGTGCCCAGCAAACCAGCAGCATCAGAATCACCTATATCTCCTACCCCAGACCTGCTGAAGCTGCACCTGCATTTTAGTAAGATCTCCAAGTGCCTCCTGTTCAAGCAGACTTGGAATCTCTGGATCTGGTTTGCAGTATATTCAGCTGGATTCAAGTCCTAGTGCCACAATGTAGTAGAGTGGTAACCATAAGCAAGGGTTTAGCCTCACTTTTCACTAGGATTGCATCAAAAGTTAAAGAAGACGCCCCTCGCTGCACCTCCCAAAGCTGAAGTCAAGGCAAAGGCTTTGAAGGCCAAGACGGCAGTGCTGAAGAGCATGCTTGGCCACTAGTAAAAGAAGATCGTGCATTGCCCACTTTCCCATGTCTCAAGACACGGCGGCTCTGGAGGCAGCCCAATTGTCTCGGAAGAACACCACTGGGAGACACCAGCCTGACCACCGTGCCAGCATCCAGCTCCCCCTGACCACAGAGTCAGCCATGAAGATAAAAAAGCAACTTGTGTTCATCGTAGACATCAAGGCCAACAAGCACCAGCTCAAACAGGCTGTGACATTGACATGACCAACGTCAAGCCCTGATCAGACATGATGGAAAGAAGGTGTATGTTCTGCTGCTCCTGAATCCTTCCAAGGACCCCAGGTCTAGGATTAGGAGGCTGCCAAGGACTCACTGTCAAGCCAGGGAGTGGACGGTGCCCTGAAGCACCGTCCATTCCCTGTGGTGGGGACACCAGGTCCTTAATTCCCCTAAGCTTACCTGACCGGCCCTGTCCAGGCAATTAGGTCAAAAAATGGAATCTTCTCTGCTAATGGCTAGGATTAAAGCTGAGTGAATTCAACTCAAATGAAGGGAATAGTAGCCCTTCTCCCTCAGACCTCATTATCTAAATTAACAGGCTTGACAAGAGTGTTGAGGCCTATATTGATTGTGCCATTCTCATCACCCCCAAGATACAAGTCAACACAGCCTTAGTACTAAAAGCCCAATACACAACAGTCTCTGAACTGTCTTACCAGCCCTTCTTCCTCCAAGAGCGTAGTAATGTTTCTGAGGGGTCCTTTAGGCCAGTTTCTCCAAGCATGGCCAGAGAAGCACTTGGCTCAGAGTACCTCAGAGTACCTGGGGTATGGGCATAAAATGCAAACACTTGTTATAGGGAAGGAAAATGTTGTTAGACACTGTTGGGAAGACAGGCAGGAGCCAATCATGTGACCTGAGTCACATTTTCCATAGAGCACTCTGCGGTTCTGAGAATTGAGGGTGGGACCAGAAATACGAGCGGCCCAGTCAAGAGATGTGGTAGCTAGGAATGGGATTGGCTTGGGTGACTGATATATTTTAATTAAACCAAGCAAAACTGATTGTGGGAAATGATATAAAGTTTCCAGTTTTTCTGAGCTGCACTGTGTTTGGAGTAAAGATGGATGGATGGATATGGCCTGGTGACCTGGACAGATTAGAGGGAGAAAGGTCCATGGATTTATTTCCTACTGTAGCTGAGGCCTCTGTGGGCTAGGCACAGGGGTCCTTTCCTAGAGTAGGGAAATGTGTCCCGTTCTTTTGTTTTCTCCAACTTCCTTGGCAAATCTTGAATAGATACATGCATGAGCCAATGAATGGACAGAGTTATTATTAATGAATGTTATACATGAAACATTCCTAAAGTGCTTAGATAGAAAGAGAGAGAATAGCTCTGTCTACATGGTCTTTCTGCCAATAGCCACATCACTACAGCCAGAAGAACATGGGGTTCAAGAGAGCAGAGTCTAGAGGAACCCTCCAAGTTCTTAGATGCCAGTGTCTTCATTCTCCCTTCTTCCCCATAGGAGCATGGGAGATCACCTTGACCTTCTCTTAGGAGTGGTGCTCATAACCAGCCATGGGCTTGGGCTTTCTCCCTGCTCCTCCAATGACCGGATAGCCTTGTACCGTTTCTGCAACCTCACCCAGGTCCCCCAAGTCCTCAACACCACTGAGAACCTCCTGCTAAGCTTCAACTATATCAAGACAGTCACAGCCACTTCATTCCCCTTCCTGAAGCAGCTGCTGCTGCTGGAACTTGGGACTCAGTTTACCCCCTTGACTATTGACAAAGAAGCCTTCAGAAACCTCCCCAATCTTAGAATCTTAGACCTGGGCAAAAGTCAGATAGACTTCTTACATCCAGATGCTTTTCAGGGACTGCCCCATCTGTTTGAACTGAGATTATTTGCCTGTGGTTTCTCCGATGCTCTGTTAAGAGATGGTTATTTCAGAAACCTGCAGTCTTTGATGCACCTGGACCTGTCCAAGAATCAGATTCATAACCTTTACCTTCATCCTTCATTCTGGGAATTGAATTCCTTGCAGTCCCTTGATTTTTCTCTCAACCAAATAACCACTGTGTGTGAACATGAGCTCAGGCCTCTTCAAGGGAAAACACTCTCCTTTTTCAACCTTGCTTCTAATAGCCTCTACAGAGACTTCATGGACTGGAGGAAATGTATGAACCCATTCAGAAATATAAGCCTGGAAACCTTAGATGTTTCCAGCAATGGCTGGACCATAGGCACCACAAGAAACTTTAGCCATGCCATCAGCGGAAGCAAAGTGTCCTCTTTGGTTCTTAGCTACCACGTTATGGGTTCTGGGTTTGGATTCCAAAACATCAGAGATCCTGACCAGAACACATTTGCAGGCCTGGCCGGAAGCTCGGTAATACACCTGGACCTTTCACATGGGTTCATCTTCTCCCTGAACTCCCGAGTCTTTGAGGCCTTCAGAGAGTTGAAGCTCTTGAACCTTGCCCACAACAAGATAAACAGGATTGGGAATGAAGCATTTTATGGACTCAACAGCCTCCAAGTTCTCAATATCTCATACAACCTCCTGGGGGAACTTTATAATTCTAATTTCTATGGACTACCTGAGGTAACCTACATTGATCTGCAAAAGAACCACATTGGAATCATCCAGGACAAAACATTCAGATTCCTGGGGAAATTAAGCACCTTGGATCTCCGGGATAATGCTCTTAAAATGATTCATTTTCTTCCAAGCATATCTACTATCTTGCTGGGTGGCAATAATCTGGTAACTTTGCCAACTATCACATTTACAGCCAACTTCATCCACTTAGCAGAGAACAGGCTGGAAACTCTGGATGATCTCTATGTCCTTTTACAGATGCGTGGCCTCCAGATTCTCATTTTAAATCAAAATCGCTTTTCCTCTTGCCACCAACAACTTGCCCCTTCAGAGAATCTCCACTTGGAACAGCTTTTCCTTGGAGAAAATATGTTGCAACTTGCCTGGGAAACTGGGTTCTGTTGGGATGTTTTTAAGGGCCTTTCTCGTCTCCAAGTCTTGTATTTGAATAGCAACTACTTGAGTTTCCTTCCACCAGGCATATTTAGCCACCTGACTGCATTAAGGAAGCTCATCCTCAACTCCAACAGGCTGACGGTTCTTTCTCCCGGTGACTTACCTGCCACGTTAGAGGTCCTTGATATATCGAGAAACCAACTTCTGTCTCCTGATCCTGATTTATTTGCATCACTTAGTTTCCTGGACATAACTCATAACAGCTTCATCTGTGAGTGTGAACTTAGCAGTTTCATCAGTTGGCTCAATCAAACCAATGTCACTCTCGTGGGGTCTCCTAAAAACCTCTACTGCGTGTACCCCAGCTCAGTCTCTGGGGCATCCCTCTATGCTTTTTCAACAGAAGATTGTGATGAAGAGGAATTCTTTAAGTCTCTAAAGTTTTTCCTTTTCTCCTTCCTCACTGCCACATTGACTGTCTTCCTCACGGCTACCATTACAGTCACGAAGTTTCGAGGGTTTTGTTTCATCTGCTATAAGACAGTCCAGAAACTCGTACTCAAGGACCTGACTGAGGAGAGAGCATCTGACACGTACCAGTACGATGCCTATTTGTGCTTCAGTAGCAAAGACTTCGAGTGGGTGCAGAACGCTTTGCTAAAATACCTGGATACTCAGTACGGGAACCACAACAGATTTGACCTGTGCTTTGAAGAAAGAGACTTTGTCCCAGGGGAGAACCACCTCATCAACATCCACGATGCCGTGTGGCACAGCAGAAAGGTCGTCTGTATTGTGAGCAGACACTTCCTTCGAGATGGCTGGTGCCTGGAAGCCTTCACTCACGCCCAGAGCAGGTGTGTGGCAGACCTCAGCAACGCCCTCATCGTCGTGGTGGTCGGGTCCCTGTCCCACTACCAGCTGATGAAACATCCGGCCATGCGAGGGTTTGTACAGAAGCAGCAGTACTTGAGGTGGCCTGAGGATCTCCAGGATGTTGACTGGTTTCTCAGTAAACTCTCTCAGCACATACTGAGGAAAGAAAAGGGAAGGAAGAAAGACAATAACATCCCCTTGCAAACTGTCTCCACCATCTCCTAGTTAGAGGGACAGGTCTCTCCTTCCCTCACGCCATAAGTAACTCTTCACATTGGACTTGCGCTAAGCTACCATTTTGGGTGTTTCCCAGAGTTTTATTTTCTTGATGAAAACAACATAAATCTCTTGGTTTTCATAGTAACACAGTGTTTTTTCTCTCTGACCATCAAATGGCAGTAATAGGTCTACAAAATTGCAAGTGTCTCCCGAGGTCCCTACTCTCCATTGATTTCCTTTCAGACCAAATAATACTGTTCTCTCCTGGGCACTGACTCCTGTTCATTGATCCCTGTCCTCGGAAAGTCACCTTGAGAGCAGTTACAGGCGGTCTTCAGTTTGGGAAGGGGCTGGCCAAAGCTCCTGGGCTTGGTAGAGTAACGCTAAGAAAATGGACAGAAGAAAGTGTCCTACGTCCACCCTGGACAACCACTCGGTGCAGGGCTCAGTCCCAAGGACCAGACCTGGCCCCACAGGAGCCAGGATGAGAATAACAAAGGCTCTCCCGGCCATGCAGCTCTTCCTGCTCTTCCGGCAGCCCCACCAGGTCTCATCCTGGGGGCCACCAATGTGGTTCCACGCACAGAACCTTTATTTCTCCCTGGCATTCAAGACCCGCCATGATTCATCACCACCATATTTCAGCTTTATTTCCTTTCACTCCTTGTGTGTCAGCCACACAGGCCATTGTGACCTGGGGTCTCTTCACACCCTCACTAGCCTCTGTTCTCCTCTGTGAGTACAATGATCTCTACCTCATGCAGCCACTGTGAAAATTAAGTTGATTAAGGATCTCAGGGCTTCTCAGGTCTTTTCCTTAGTCTCCCCAAAAGCCCCTATGGGTACACATACCAGGGGCCTTCTGGAAGCCATCGAAATTTCTTTGAAGTTGTATTTTTTTAATCATAAAAATAAAACATGTATTTTGCATTCCATTTCACTTTTTGTTTTGATTTTAATATGGAAATGTGTTCTGTAAAAATATAAGAAAATTTCAGGGCCCTCCCTGGTGGTGCAGTGAGTTAAAGCAGGTTAAAGCCGCTTCCACATGAGTTCAATTCCTTCCTGCCCCAGAGGTGACCACATGGCGCTGCAGACCTCTCCTGACCCGCCCGCTGCTCCCCTCAGCAGTGTACTTCGTCGACCTGCCTGTTCTGCTCCCCACTCTGTCTCTGGTGAAGCCTCTCGCCACCCCTGAGCCTCTGACCTGTACCCCAGTTCTGTATGCACAAGTAAATAAATCTTTTTAAAAAAAAAAAATATATATATATATATAAGAAAATTTCAAACAGGAAGGCATGCCAAAATTACCATGTGGTTCATATATGGCCTCCCCCAAATCCATAGGCCCAGAGGCTTCTCTGTGAGGGCCTCACCTCAGTCTGGGATGAGACCCCAAAATGCCACTCCCTTCTGCTTGCTAGGTCTCAAATCCTTACTATACACACACACACACACACACACACACACACACACACACACACCCCTTACACCCACAGCACACAGTTGTACACACACTTCACATACAGACACTCTGTTCTTACCCAGCTCCTGGGCCCTCTCTGGTCCGTGAGCCTGAGCTCGCTCTGTACCCTCTTTATTCTATAGTATTGCCTGATGTGAGAATACCGGCGCTGTCCTTAGGCACAGCACATGCGCACACACACACCCTACGCTTTCCTTCTGGGCTCTTCTCCCATCTCTGCACATTCACCTCCACCTCATGTTTTTTCAGCTGAACCCCCAAGCCTTCTGGGATACCCCCCAAGCCAAAACCCCTTTGTATAAACTCAGCATTTTTTTCTTTTAAAATAAGCACCTGTGACTTCCTGCCATCCTGCTTCCCACCCTCTGGACTGAGCGCCGTGGGGCAAGACGCCCTCGCTGGCTAGAGCAGATCACATATGGTTTGATCACATATGGCGGTTGCGGGAGTTTCCTGCCCACACATGTTCTGCCCCCCTCTAACTCCTTCTCCCCATCCCACCTCCATCTGCCTGGCAAACTCCCCAACACGACCGTCCTTTCCTTGTAATCCTACAGATTTCTGTCACTGGGATGTGACATTGTGTTGTGCCAATGTGTGTGGATGTGCAGAGACCTAGACTGTGAGTCCCTCTGGCAGAGACATGTCTTGTTCTCCTCTGACTCCTACGGATCTGAGGCTTGGACCACAGGATGTGCTTAATAAATGCCTGGTGAGTGCATGAAGTGCTTGGTGAAGCCCACCTCTCGTGTCCACACCTGCTGCTAGTGGGTGCCCCTGAGATAAACTTCAGGTATGCGGGAGGGGCCATCCACACAGTGCTGAGGGGGAGGGTGAAAACCCACTGGCTCTCGAAAACCCACTGGGCATCATCTCAAGTGACAGAGCACGGTATGGAGTTCCTGGGTAGGGAGCGAGAAGGGGAAGGGGGTGGGTGGGGCAGGGAGCCAGGTGAAGCAGGTTCTCTTCAACATCATACTGAGATGTATAGCAAAACAAAACAGCAACTAAGTATCAGGAAACTGTCTAACCACAGTTCCAACAGCTGCAGAAAGCACTCTGCTTCAGAGTTGCCTGCTCACCTGCCAGGTCCCTGTGGTTCTCCCTAGGGTACATGAGCCTGGGACACTGGCAAAGTCTCCCACCAAACCTCCCTTAAGAGCAGATTTCCTAAAGGAAAGGAGAACCCCGGTCCTGCCTGGGGGTGGGAGAGATGTTATGCCAGGTACCTCCCGGCGTGAGGTAACCATCACCGTGACTATTTTCCAAACCCAACTTGTACTGTAAAATGACAAGTGCATTGATAGGGACAACAAAGTGGAGTATAAGTAACTCTTGACAAGTGAAAGGCTTCAATCCCACAGCCTTTTCTGAGCCCTTATTTAAAAAACAGCAGGAATTTTCCTAATGAAACACACAGAGCTACTCCTGATATGTCCATACAGTTTGTGGGGTCCTGTCCAAAGCACCACTCTGCTGTGTTGAATGCAACATGCCACTCTGATTTTTTCCAAAATATTTCTAGCACAGACCCAACTTTCTGAATTTTTTTTCACTTGTCTCTTTATCACTAGGCCCAGCAGTTGGGCTGCTTTTCCAGGCTACTTTTCCAAGCACCACTTGACAAGAGTTGCAGCATAGATGGCAAGAGAAAAAAAGACTAGCAACGCCGTGTTGGGTGTGGAGGCTGTATTCAAGTTGTCAGCAGTTCAAGGTCAGGCCTCAGCTAAATGATAAACTCCAGTTAGCCCAGTGCTTGGGGATCACTCCTGAAAACAGGGACTATGACAATTCCATCTGAGCCTGGCAAGAGCTTGCTGTGGTTGAAAAAGACTGTTATGGAAAATCTAGAATATTGTTGGAGCTGTTAAAACCTTCAAAAAGAAACTCGCTCATCACCCTAAATACAATTGACTTGGAATTTATTTTCAACCACATCTACAGTGAATAATACCTTAATGTTGATATCATGTAAGTAATCATGACTGAAAGTTTGCAATGATGATCTAACTATTGAGGTGATAGAATAGGAAGTACACATATACCTCCAATAAATGCTCATCTACCACAATATAAAATCATTATAACGTGTCTAGAACGCTAAATCAAAACACAGCAGAGTGTATATTTAGAAATATGGGAATTTGACAAGAAAGAACTAGACAAATTAGTTGTTCTTCCAGTGTGAACACCTGGAAAGACTATTTTTAAAATTTTTTTAAAGTCACTGGAGAACTACAAGGTAGTAAGGAGGACCAAGATCCAAGCGAAGAAGGAAATCAAGAGAGAGGAATGTCTTTAGATTAAAACCTACTCATCAAAAAATAAAAATCAATGAGCAAATTACAGCATGTCAAAATACTACATATAGCTAAAGAGGAGGGGTGCAAAACAACAAGAAAAGGACAGAACAAAAGTGGACAAGATACTTAACTTCACAAATGGTTATCCAAGGTCCAACAAATGTGAGAATATAGCCAGCCTCCTCTCGTCACCTGGGACAGGCACGTTCAAACCACATCACTGCACCACTACACAAGCCCACATGCATTCACTTTTATACCACGCATGGCGCCTTGACTCCACACTTAGTTCCCAGCAGTCTCCTTCTTCTTGACCAAGTAGTCAAGAGTCATGGCATAATGGGAGTTGTAGTCTCTGGGCCTGGGATCTCTTGGGCGTGGAGCTGGGGTGGAGTCCATAGAACACCAGCGGATGGAGTTCATTCAGGACATACTGGCTCCCAACAGTTCTATTTTTAGAAATTTCAAAAAGACAAAACTCATCAATGGTAATGAGGATAAGGGTTACCCTTGGAGAGATGGATGGGGGGTGTGGAATGCTGTTTAAGTCCATTTCTTGACCTAGATGATGATCACATGGATGTGTGTGATGGAGGATAAGAATAAGGAAACTGGAAAGGAGGCACTATAGGACCTGAAAGCACCAACAAAGAGAATCAACATTATTATACAGGTGAAGGATGTTTATCATGTTTTGCTCTATTTTATTTTTCTTAAGATCAAAGAAACTTTTAATCTGTTTACTTAGTGATTAAATATTTTATTCCTCCATGGTCTCAATAGCTTCCATTTAGACAGAACTTTTAAGAAATTAAACTTTTTTATTCTGCATACAATCCCAGGGAATGAGCTAAGTTTGCTGGGTCCCCTCAGGCACAGTGGGGCACAAGAGAGCTCTATTCCCAAAACCCGGGAGACCTGATCCAGCAGGCTGGAAATCGTGATTCTTTTTCCATGTGTAGGCTCCTGTTTGTCTGTCTCCTCCCCAGAAAAGTCACCTCAGGGAGACATGAGAAAAGTCAATGACATCATGTCTTATGAAGCAGGTGTTTTGGCTGAGAGGAGCCTTGGCCATTTTTCTGCTGACTTGGGTTTGCTGCTCAAGCAAAAACCTCACTGCCTAACATTTGTTAATGGAGGGGGGAAAAGATAGTCTCAGAAACAATTACATAAAGAGTTTACTAGATAAGCAAAGTGAGGATTTGAACCAAGAAGCAGCCCAACAGATTTTACTCTGAGGAGTGTTCCAAATAGTAAGTCTGAGTTCAGTGTCTGTAGCCAGG